CTCCTTCTTTCGCGGCGAGCGGGATCGCGCCTTTCGCGATCCCGCTCGTCGTCCCCCTTGCGCGAGACAACAGTCTCGCAGAAGGAGGACACCGCTTTCCAGGACCTCCCGCTCTCGACCATGGCTGTGACCACAGCCGGGAGCCAGAGGTCGTGCCCCACCTCCAACCGGAGTGCCCGCCTTTCCCTGGCAAAGGCCGCGCACTCCTCCAACGCGTGCTGCGCGGAGTCTATCTCCGCGCAGCACTGGTGGCACTCGCTCGTCGCCTCGGCTCCTATCCTACACAGGTACTCACCGAAGCAACCGTGTCCGGTGAGCACCTGCGTGAGCCGGTAGGAGAGCCTGCCGTGCCGGCGGTCCAGCCACTCGTCTAAAACGGGCAAGACCGCGCCGACGGCTCGCTGCCGGGCGGCGCCGCTGTCAATCAGCTGGCGCCGCCACTGCTCGCGAGCGAGCCGTCGAGCCTGGCGCTTCAACACTCCGACCGCGTCGTCCGGCGGGTCGACCCCGTTCCGGCGGAGGCCCTGCAGACACCGATATACATCGGCGTCAGCCTCCGCCTGGAAGTCGAAGGGCACGACCCCTGCCAGGACGGCCGCCGCCTCGTGGGAGATGGTGCGGTAGCCCCTCACGACCCTGATGGCCATGCGGCGCTGTATGCGTCAAAACAACTGCCGGCCTCGCCGGCGGACCATCAGGGCGTCGGCCCATACGGGTGAACCGTATAGGGCCATGGCCCGTACTTTTGAAAGGAATGGGGCAACCTCCCTAATTGATATAATTATGACGGATCACAAAACCTTTCAAACGGTACAAAACAGCACGATATTAGATACATACACAGGATCAGACCATAAACATCTCATACATATCTTGGACAAAGGAAAAAGTAATAATAACAGTAACGAGGACACAAATAATAAAAACCACAAAATTAACTATAAAACCTTTTTACAACTATACGACGAAGGTGTGGCGAACAGTGGTAAAGCAAAATGGACAAGAGAAGATATCAACCTATACATCCATACTAAAGAGGAATCTGTCAAGAAGGCTCTTATACCACTTCCGGCTATTGTGAAGAACAAACCCAAAGCCCATTGGTGGAAGCCTGAGCTGCTGCAGCTCAGAAAAAACAGTCACATAGCCAGAAGAAATCTGCAGAGAGCATGTAAAAAGAAAAAAGAAGAGGTCGTAGACGAGAAAACTTCGTCATTTGTCGGGTCACACCAACAATACCTGTTATTAAGTGTGACCTCCGCACACCCGAGTTTCATCGAGTCGTCCACTTTATGTTCTTAAGCCCTTTATGAGCAAAAAGTCCAGTAGATTTAAATTAGTTTATTAGCCATGAAGCAGATGTTCGAAAGTAACGGTACCATCCCAGTACCGACGTCACCCTACCTGGAACTTGGAAAAACCCGGACACGTAGGCTTCTTACCTTCGCCCTTTCCACGCGACACCTTTCGCACACCCACCGATTTCCAGCCCCTACTCTGGCAACCAATTGAGGCCCACGAATTTTTCCCCTCCAAGTTTTCCATATTTGCCTACAGTGCATCCCTCCTTTTGCGTTCGTCAAGACTAGATATTTTTCTGACAGAATAAGCAAAACCGTTGTATCGACCGGACCAGGTCAAAACATAGATCACTTCCCGTTACTTATAATACTTGTAGTCAAAATTCTAAAATATATTAGATTGTTGTACAATTTGGGTAATTTGATTTGGAGAGAAATACTGATCCTTCATTTATCCCAACCTCGCGCTAAACCAAACGTGAGGAAGAAACATGGTCCTTCGAGCCGGATACACATAGAAAAGTGATACCTAGTGATTATCGAAAATAAGTAACGTGTTTCGGGAGTGAATATTAAACGTTAAACATACATGTTTAACAACTGTCGTGCCATCATAGCAAGTGTCGTGCTAGTGGCAATTTTCGTATCGAGTCAAATTTGACTACAAAACATTAAATTGCGTGTTCTCGAGTTCATCATAAAATATTACAAGAGAAGTGGATGGTTAACCTTGCTTAGTTATCCAAAAATATTGAACAAATACATAATTGTAGTTCGTTGCGCTCCGTGAAGCGACACAAAATTCGTTGGTGCATTGACAAGCTGGTAAAAGCTGTCATCATCGTCAAACCTTCGAACTTGCTTCGAATGAAGAAATCAGGAGACACGTAGGCCTTCCAACATATCTGGGTCTACATACGTCTCAAGGGAAGAAGCTGACCAGGATTTCATCGCAGTCCAGGTCATCACAGATTCTATTGCTCCAGCATCTGGTTTGGAGCTACAATCAGCAGCTGATCGGAAATCTACCGTCGGCGAGGAGCAACAGAGAGTAAGGGTCCAAAAGTCATCGTAAGGGTAAGCGAGTTATTGTACCACCAACCATTCCCGTCTATTATTCCTTAATTTTATCATAGTATCGCAAGAATCTAGTTGTTCGTGTTAGTAACTTATCGTCAGTTCCAAAATGGACAAACAAGTACAGCGACTAAAGATTAAACTCGCGAACTCAAAAAGAAAAATAACAAATTTTACAAATTTTGTCGATGGTTACGTTGCGGAACGTGATTTTCCTGTCTTAGAGAAAAGAAAGCAAGATATTGACAAAGTATTCGCGGAATTTGAAAATTGGTATACGGAATTGGAAGCGCTTGTCGATGAACCTACCCACGCAGATACCCGTACGGAATAGGAAGAAAAATATTACGCGGCGTACGGTAAATCAATGTCATTTTTAATGGACATCGCGACTCCAATTAACAACCTAACCGATCCTATCGCGTCGACTTATTCACAAGGTATTGTCAACGGAGTTAATACGAATATCGTTCAACCTTCCAAACGTTCTCTTCCGCGAATAAATCTACGGTCCTTTAGCGGATCCTACGAGGCTTGGTTAGGATTTCACGATCTCTTTAAATCTCTTGTCGATGATGATTAAGACATTCCTGAAATTGAGAAGTTGTATCATTTAAAGGGTTGCTTACGGGACGAAGCCGCGGAAGTTATCGCGTCGATTGAATTGTCAGCAGAAAGTCTTCTGCTGAAGGAACGTTACGATGATCGAAAAATCATTCGCCAAACACATGTAAAAGCTTTATTAAATTTAAAATACATTTCGAAAGAATTTCCCGTTCGCTCGCTACTCAATCAGGTTCAAAAACATGTCAGAGCACTGGAAGCCTTAAGGGAACCCGTTGATCATTGGGACACTCTCTTAGTAGAAATAATTAGTAAAAAATTAAGTAATGTTATTCGTGACAAATGGGAAGAGGCCAGTGGTGAATCGGTTAGTCCTACCTTTGAAAAATTCATAAAGTTCCTACAACGTCAAGCACAGTTCGAAGATGTAAAATCTCATCAAGAATTTGTAGGTTCCCAGAACTTTTCGGAAAGAAAGCCCTCTCAGGCTCGTGCGAAACAACGCTCACAACATGCGTTTACGGCGACAACGGCAAATTATTCGTGTTCTCATTGTCGAGGAAAACATTTGATTCATAACTGCGAAACCTTCAAAAAACTCGCGCCATCAGCGCGTTTCGAAGCAGCTAAAAGGGCGACTCTTTGCATCAATTGTTTGCGTCCCAATCATCGAGTTATGGACTGCACAGGAGCACCTTGTCCTAAGTGCCACAAAAAGCACAATACTCTCTTACATTTCGAAAAACAACCGTCTGAGACAATTAGTGCCTCAGAACCCGCCTCGTCGAGTCAATCTGTCGTCAATTTGCATGCTCAAGTTTCTTCTGAAGGTTTACTAGCCACTGCATTGGTAGATATCGTTAACGCCCAAGGACAGCCCAAAACGTGTCGAGCGTTTCTGGATGCTGGATCACAGGCACATTTCATAACTGAGAGTGTAGCATCATTTTTAAAGTTACCCAAAAAATCGGTTGATATGTCAGATTTGGTATTGAAGACATTTCTACAGAGATAAAGCACTCGGTATCGGCGACATTGAAATCGCGATTTAGTAAGTATTCCAAAACTCTCGAGTTTCTCGTTTTAAATCGAATTACAAAAACCATGCCCTCAATCTCGGTTAATCAAACAAATCTTGATATTCCAAACAATATAGTCTTGGCTGATCCTAAATTCTATAATCCATCAGAAATTGAGGTGCTTATTAGCGTTAAATTGTTTTACAAGCCTTTATGTGTAGGACAAATCTCGGTAAAAAATCATCCTGAGATTGTGTTGCAAAAAACTCAACGCGGTTGGATTGTAGCTGGAGAAATAAAAGGTTCTTCTTCAGGAAATGCTATTCAATGCCATTTCACAACGCATTCAACTCCTTTAGATGCAAATCTTACCAAATTTTGGGAATTAGAGGACATTCCTTCAGTTAAAATATTATCCCAGGAGGAGCAGGCGTGTGAGGCTCACTTTAAAAGGAATACACAACGCAATTTTGAAGGCCGTTATATCGTTAGACTGTCCTTCAATGAAAACAAAGAAAACCTAGGAGAATCTCGTTCTATGGCTCTTCGTCGTTTTCACTGTCTAGAGAAACGTTTCGACAAAAATCCCCAACTAAAGGTGGAATACTGCCATTTTTTAGACGTATATAAGGAACTAAATCACCTATCATTATTAGAAAACAGAACCCTCACGATGCCGGGCTTTTATCTCCCCCACCACGCGGTAATCAGGGAAGATAGCATTACCACAAAAATTCGCGTCGTCTTCGATGGTTCGGCAAAGACTTCGTCGGGCGTGTCTTTGAACAATGCATTGATGGTCGGTCCCACAATTCAGGACGATTTATTCACTCTTTTAATTCGATTTCGATCTCGCAGATACGCCTTTACCGCCGACATAGAAAAAATGTATAGGGAGATACGAGTGCATCCAGACGACGCTTCTTATCAAAGAATTTTATGTCGGAAAAATCCAGATGAGGTTGTAAATGAATTCTCTCTTAACACCGTTACCTACGGCACCTCTTGTGCCCCTTTTCTCGCCATTCGCAGCCTTCATCAGCTCGCTGATGACGAAGGAGCTCAGCATCCCGTTGCAGCCTCCGTGTTAAAGCGAGACTTTTACGTAGATGATTTGCTAACAGGTGCAAATACGCGCCAAGAAGCCGCATTCCTTCGCGACGACTTAATAGCACTCTTGCAAAAGGTCGGGTTTTCCATTCGAAAATGGTCCTCCAACGACCCTTCAGTGGTGCCCGGAACCTCGGAGAATTCATCCAGTACACATATGTCCCTGGATCCACACGCCACGGTCAAAACGTTAGGTATTCATTGGAATTCTCATGAGGACATAATATTTTATAAAGTCAATTCATCGGATTCGTTCAAAACCGTGACCAAACGGTCAATCCTGTCGCAAGTCGCAAAATTATTTGATCCTCTAGGACTACTTGGTCCAGTTATCGTTAAGGCAAAAATAATGATTCAGCTTCTGTGGAAAGCTGGAGTTTCGTGGGATGAATCAGTTCCAGTAGATATCCACACTATGTGGCTAGAATTCAAAGAACAACTACCACTTTTGACCAAAGTCAGCTTTAATCGACTCACTATTGCATCTAATTTTGTCAAGGTGCAAATGCATGGCTTCTGTGATGCAAGTGAGAAGGCATATGGAGCTTGCATTTACATGCGTTCAACCGACATCCATGGTAACAATCATGTTTCCCTAGTTTGTTCAAAATCAAGAGTCGCGCCTGTAAAATCGTTGACGTTGCCACGATTAGAGCTATGCGCTGCCCTTCTATTGGCACGTTTGTATACAACAACCAAATTAGCTCTTCAACTTGAAATTAATAAGGTCTACTTGTGGTCAGATTCCACCATAACCCTCCATTGGATAAAGACCGAACCTCATTTATTAAAAGTTTTCGTCTCCAATCGAATCGCGGAAATTCAAAATTTATCAGAATCTTGCGAATGGCGACACGTGCCTACGCAAGACAATCCCGCAGATTTAGTATCGAGAGGTCAAATGCCTCAGGAATTTCTAGATACGAGGATCTGGGAAAATGGTCCGCATTGGCTCTCCCACGAAGAAAACCTCTGGCCTCAAAAGAAAATTTACCTGGGTGAAATCCCAGAAAAACGTGCAATTATTGCCTCTCCAGTTTGCGCGAACGCAACGGTAATTGACGAGAATTTTGTAAAAGGTTACAGTTCATTCAAAACCCTTAAACGGGTGATTGCGTATGTTATGCGTTTCATACATAATCTAAGAAATAAGTCGCAAAAACATACTGGTCCTCTCAGTGCGACAGAATTTGAAGATTCTGGTCGAATTATAATTTTAATTACACAATCGTCAGCCTTTGCAAAAGAGATTCAGTCTCTAAAAATCGACGGTCAGGTAGACAATAAAAGCCGGTTGATCCCATTGAAACCCTTCTTAGACAAACAGGGAATCCTTAGGGTAGGTGGCAGGCTAATTCACTCGAAATTGCCAGAAGAACAAAAGCATCAAATCATACTACCTTCCGATCATCAAATAACTCGCCTCATCATTCGTGATGAACACAAAAGGCTCAAACATGCGGGAACCCAAGCAACCTTGTACTCCGTTCGCGAGACCTTCTGGCCACTCAATGGTCGAAATGTTACGCGAATGGTCATTTACAAATGTGTTCGATGCTTTCGCGCTAAGCCACGGGGTGTAGATTATATTATGGGAGATCTTCCACAAGAACGGGTATTGTGTTCTCGACCTTTCCTTGATGTCGGTGTTGACTATTGCGGTCCATTGTACATCAAGGAAAAGCGATTTCGTAATCGTAATAAACTTAAGGTGTACGTCGCCGTTTTTGTATGCATGGGCACCAAGGCAGTGCACCTCGAATTGGTTAGTGATTTGACCACAGAAGCCTTTATGGCATGCTTGAAAAGACTTTTCTCTAGGAGAGGAATATCGAAAACGATCCACTCCAATAACGCGACGAATTTTGTTGGAGCGAGCCGAGAACTTATTGAACTTCATAAATTAATTCAGTCGGCTGAGCACAATACAAC